TATCTTGGATATTTAAAAAGTTATTCAGGAATTTCAACGTAAATATACATATATATGTATGTATAAACTGAACCGTTGCACCGATTATCGTCAAATACCAGCCATCTTTTAATCACACTCAATAAATGTGCCAAAGTAGAAGGCGATATCTAAAAAATTGCGGAGGTGAGAGCGCGAACAATTATTACGACATACACACACACACACACACATACATTTTTTTAAAAATTGTTTTTTTGAGTTTTTAAAACATTTTAAACCCATTGGCATTAAAAACTGGAAAAAAATTTTTCGCATGAAAACAAAACTTTCTCTATGAGGAAGCAAAAGATCGTGCTACGATGATTTTTAACGGAGATATCGTCGGTAATGTCGAAAACACAAGGGTTACTTCAATGAGCTGTAATTTGGCGAAAAAAATCGTAGGAACTTCTTTTTTTTAATTAAAGGGAGAAGTACACACTTTTTGATACCGTAAGCAGAACTGGCGAAGAAAAATTATTACACTCCGTACAGTATGTCAAATTGTGCAATTTTTTGAGAAAAAACATGATCTTGGTTTTGAGAAAGTTCCGGAAAATGGGAAGAGTGAATGCATATTCCAATAAGGGCTTCTTAAAGCAGAGTCTTTGCCCTATAAAATAAAAAGAAACTTTAATTCGACCACTTTTCGCGAAGTTACGCTTATTTTGTAACGAAGCGCCTACTCTTCCCCGGTACTGAATTCCGGACAGGACTCCGGCGGGTATCACTTATTACGCGAATAAATGCGGAACTTAGTCGGACGCGCGGTTCCGACTAACGGTTGGAAGAGTGGGCGTTCTTTCGGTCGATTTTGACGTGCTGTGTGTCGGTTTAGATAAATCCTCCGTTCCTCTGATTTGCCGAATATGCTCAGCTCCAGGGCCGTCGAGAGGAAAGGAGGAAAAGATCGTACTTACTGGTAGTGAGGTAATCGCTTGGGAGGATCGGAAATAAATCGGACAGGTGTTTTAAAGGCAGAGAACGATAGGAGCGTGTTTTATTCAAGGATTGATACACGGAATCGAGGTAATTATAATGGGTCCGCCCTGTGATCAAAATATAAAAGGAAAGGAATGGGTTAGTATTACAATGAGTCCGCCCTGTGATTAAATACAAAGAAAACAGGATATGTTTAGACGGATTACATTACGGTACAGGAGTACGCGGCCGGATCGGAATACGGAGTACAAAATATAATGTGGCCGGTCGGATTAATCGGGAGTAACAAATCGCCGTTCGGATTTAAGAATACCGGAATCCGATCAGAATTATCCGGAGTTGTAATAAAGGTGTACAGGAAATACACAACAATCTGGATTTTACAGTACGGCACGGAGAAGACGGTATTAGATCGGAATACGGAAAATAATGCGCACTGGAAACGGATAATATATATGATTATTAATGCTATGGATAAAATACGGTATATAACGGATACGGAAAGTTTACTGGCGGCAAACAGGAAGGATGTCTTTATGGAATCCTCTGGTCGGTAAAAGGAGAACAGTGACGGAATTGATTCTACGGAAGCCTACGCGCAAATTAGAATTAATCCCCACCCGAATACTCCCCCCTGAGCTCTACACCGGTCAGGAATCAGGAAAGGAGATGGTCAGGTCAGGAACACGCCCGAGCAGCGCCTCGTGATGCGTGAATTTTCAGTAGGAATTGTACACCGAGGAGCACCCCGTTAGGTGTACGCTACTGCGGAATCACTCCGTCCCCACGAGACACGGCGGTATCCGTCATCACGGGGGGAACGGAGCCAGGACGGAGGCAGGAGACCGGTACGGGGAATTTGTAGCATGTGTACGCCGAGGAGCACCCCGTTAGGCGTACGCTACTGCGGGACGGGGCCCACAACGGAGTAGAGCCTCCGCTGTGTGCTCCGGGGTGGTATATAGCCGGAGACAGGAGCACCCATTCAACTCCGGCTTACACTAGGGATGTGCGATACAGTATCGATTCATGCAAATATCGATGTATCGGTTTGTAAATATCGATATTTTGTATCGATTCTTTATACAGTGATATATTGGCATATCAATACTCTGCAAGTCAATATCGGTCTTTCGATACACATATATTTCTATACTTATGTTATCTTTCAAAATTTAAGCCTATCACACAATGCTAGGCAACAGGCAATAGGAATAGGGAATAGAATTTTTAACGCGTTGCATTCGTCGGAAATTTTCTTCCAACCAATCCAACACGTCAGAAATTCTATTCCCTGTTCCTATTGCCTGTTGCCTGGCATTGTGTTTAAGCCTTTACTGCCAACGCGCCCTGCGGTGAAAATCTACAGCATACGTTACGTGTACTATAGATGTTTAGCACTAGCAGTGAATTTTGGAACACAGCCATAATATATTTCTATACTTCTTATGGCTCTTGCAGACCAGCGCGAAAACGCGACGAGCGACGTGCGATAATCCAATGAGCGTACAAGTTTTATGGGAAAGCTGTACGATCATTGGATAATCGTGTGTCGCGCATCGCGTTTTCCCGCTGGTCTGCAAGAGCCATTAAGCCGTAATTACGCTAGCGATTGCCGAATGACGATGGACGAATGGCAATTGCTTTTGGGAGTTTAAGCTTGTCTGCTATTGGCCGGTGTTAAGCCTATCACACAATGGCAGGCAACAGGGAATAAGAACAGGGAAAGAATTTCCGACGTGTTGGATTCGTCGGAAATTTTCGTTCAACCAATCCAACGCGTCAGAAATTCTATTCCCTATTTCTGTTGCCTGTTGCCTGGCATTGTGTGATAAGCCTAAAGGCTGAGTTATGATGGCCGTAACTGTTAACTTATGCCAGAACCGGTAAAGTTCGATACTGGGATTTCAATGCTTTCGTTCATAATGGGTTTCTGAACGAAAGCATTGAAATCCCAGTATCGAACTTTACCGGTTCTGGCATAAGTTAACAGTTACGGCCATCATAACTCAGCCTTAAGTCGTTGAGATCGGTCTCCTGTCTCTAGTCTTCATAATTTTACGTATCTAGACCTATGATGCAAACTTTGGGTTCCGAGCACTATGAAAGTGTTACACTCGGTGCTCACTCACGCAAGCGCAACCGTGTCCGTGTGTTGCGCAGTCTCTGCGCAGAGTCTCTGCGCAGCACACGGACACGGTTGCGATTGCGTGAGTGAGCACCGAATGTAACACTTTCATGGTGCTCGGAACCCAAAGTTTGCATCACTGATCCAGACCAGAGGCGTTATTTGGCCATCTTGGATGTCGAGAAGGCATAACGAAAGAAGAAGAAGAACCAGAGGTGTTAAACAAATTACTTGTTGCGCTTAGATTTAGCCAGGTTTAGCTGTTATTATTAAGGTGAGTTTTACACATATTTATTTATTTTTCTGTAATTGTTGCTATAATAATTCTTTCTGGTTAACCTAACCTAACCAATATTTTAATTTCAGAAAACTTTATCGCTTCTATTAGTGTGTACAATGTATATAGAAGGTAAGATTATAAATTAAAACTTTACATAAATCACATAAATTAAATTAATTTTTGTGTTTACTATAATAAATTTGATTTCTAATTCAGATTATTTATATTTTTACAGTATTTTAGTTGGTTTCAAATTGAGAGATAATTACCAGGCTTCCCAACCTCACATACGTCATTCTCATTCCGAAATAGTAGGCATACTAATTTCCTATTCATAACATTCCAATTCCAAATATTCCAATCTTATCCATAGACCTGTAATATGGATTTAAGATTGCGGCCTGAGTATTCATAATACACAAAATAGCACGTCAGCTTACCTCCTGTGTATGCGCACAATGTGTGCTTTATAAGGGTCCAAGCACAAAGTAATAGCTTACGACAAAACGTAAGTTATAAACGTAGATAGCGCACAAGCTTTGACGTATGTCGTACTTACTTCCAATTATATGTTACGTTACATTTACGTCAAAGCTTGTGTGCTATCTACGTTTATGACTTACGTCTTGTCGTAAGCTATTACGTCGCTTTGTGCTCTGACCCTAACCCCTGGTCCACAATCTTGCTTTAAGTAAACTGTAAGCCTTAAGCCGTAAGAAATTAACCAATCACAGACATTTATTCCCCTCATTCTCACCTATGATTGGTTAATTTCTCAGTTTAAGGCTTACAGCTTACTTAAAGCAAGATTAATTGTGGACCAGGGGTAATGCTGCACAGTGCACAAGTTGTGCGCATACATGGAGGAGATAATAGCATTTTTATTTTCTATCTCAATCCTTTTGCTCACATGCTCACAATCTATATACTAGTATAGGTCCATATTATATCTTATATTTTTAAACATCTGATTTTATATAATTTATTACTACATGCAATAATTTTTGAATTTCCTATTAGTGCCAAAAACGAGTATAGTCTGGAAACATTTTACTCAAATCGGAAATGGAGATGGCAGATGTAAGATTTGTCAAAAAGAAGTAAAGGGATGTGGCAATACAACCAATTTTATATTTCACCTAGAAAGAAGACATGAATTAAATATTTCTACATCAAAATCAAAAGCAACTCCAAGTCGAAAAAAGAAGCAAACGGTAATATATACATATAATGTATATTCTTATACATACAAATTATAAAATTAAAATATCTAATAGAAATAGAATTAGGTTCGTTATAAATAAAAATAAATAAAATGTCAAATGGATTAAAACGAACGAGCTGGATGTAGGCGCTTTCGAATCGAAACGTCTAAATTTTGACAAACTATTGTATTTATTTGTTTATATCTACATCCAGCTCGTTCGTTCTAGCCCATTTGACATTTTATTTATTTTTAAAATATCTATTTCTATTTTCTAGCCACTTGAAGAGGAAGATGAAGAAATTGAATCCACAGCCCAATCTGCTACTTCTATATTTAAAGCGACAACGCCTACAACTACAAGTCATGTCACATTAAAACCCAAGCAACCAAGACTTGATGAAAGTTTTGCTAAACAAATATCATTTCAAAGTACGTATGGCAATAAAAATTATTCAGTAAATTTGACAGGTTTTTATTTTTTCAAAATAAGTTGTGCTAATTTTTTATAATATTTTTAAATGATTCATTAACGGATTATAAAGTTCAGTAAAAATTATTTTATTTTATGCTAAAAATAAAGTTCATTAAAAATTGTGTATTATTTTTACTATACTTATATTACTTCTATATAAATATAACAAAATGGTATAATTCTATATAAAATTTAACAAAATTTTACTGTACATATGAATAAAAAAGGGAAAATTTATAATCTTTGTAGGTACAACAATTATTCCATAAACAATTATTCATTAAACAATTTGTTGTAAAAATAATAAATATATTCAAATATCTATCAGTTTATATATAATAATAAATTAATTATTTATTTTAGGTGGTTCAAAAGCGACTGAGTTGAATAACAAACTCGTTTTTATGTTAACGAAAGATTACATGCCTATAAGAACAGTTCAAAAGGAAGGCTTTCAAGAGTTTGTCAAAGCTCTAAATCCATTGTATAAACTCCCAAGCAGAAAAACTGTAACAGATTTAATAGAAGAAAAATATGATTATTTATCAAATCTTACAAAGGAAAGATTATCAACTATTGAATCATTATCTCTTACAACAGATATTTGGACTGAACCATTAAACTCGAAAAGTTACCTGGGATTGACAGCGCATTATTTGTTTGCCAATAAATGTAAGTCCATCACAATTGGCGTTCAAGAATTAGATGAGCGACATACTTCCAACAATTTAAAAGATTGGCTATTGAATTTACTGGATGAATGGCGCATAAAACGAGAAAATATTGTTGCGATGATTTCGGATAATGGAGCAAATATCAAAAAAGCAATCATAGATATTTTTGGTGCCGATAAACATATTCCATGTTTTGCGCACACGCTTAACTTGGTTCCCTCTAAAATTATTGAAACGGACGAACTTATTAGTCCTCTGATCAAGAAAGTTAAAACTATAGTTACGTATTTTAAAAAGTCAGTTTTTGCGTCAGATCAATTGCGAGTTTACAGCCAGTTGAAGCTGATTCAAAGCATAGAAACGCGGTGGAACTCAACATATGATATGTTGTTTAGATTTATGGAATTATCGGATGCAATCAGCCTCATTCTTTTAAAGTGCACTACAGCACCTTCGATGTTGACTGCAACCGAGTTGCAAACTGTAAAAGAATTTACTGACTTATTAAAACCCTTCGAAGAAGCAACAAAAATAGTTTGTGGAGAATCTTATGTCACAGCAAGTAAAATAATACCTTTTATCAATATATTGAAAAGAAAATTAGAAATGTATGTACCAGTAACGGACACAGCTAAACATTTAAAGAAAACTTTAATGGAAGGATTTACCAAACGTTTTGAAAATATTGAGAAAGTGTCAATTATAGCTATGGCAACACTATTGGATCCAAGATTCAAAAAAATTCATTTTTTAGATAAGATTGCATGTAGTCGAGCAATTGATAAAATATCGAAAATGTTATCAACTGAAGAAAAACAAAGAGACAAAGAACTACTTCCTGAAGTTGAAAAAATCAAGATAATGGAAAAGAAGACTTTTGGGCATATCATAAACAACTAGTTGAACAAATTAATTCTAATAGAGAATCTCGTGATGAAGGTGAATTATTTGATAATCTCAAATACTATTTGAACCAGCCGAATATTTCTATGGAAGATAATCCAATTAAATATTGGGACAATTATTTGCACTCACCCTTATCGGAGTTAGCAAAACGTTATTTATCAATTGTCGCTACATCAGTTCCCTCAGAACGTTTATTTTCTAAAGCTGGAAAAATAGTAACTCAAGACAGAAATCGGCTTAGTAGTAAACACTTACAACACTTTCTATTTTTATGTTCATTACCAAAAGAAGACTGGCTTTTTATTAAAATGTAAAAAGAGATAAAGACTGGGCTCTTTATTAAAATGTAAAAAGAGAGAAAGTTGTAATGTTTTAATTAAATAAAATTACTATGTTTTAAAATATTTTTGTTTTATTAATTCCATTTTTAATGTTTTCTTAATAATATCGGAGCGATATTTCAAATATCAATATTTTTGGTCCGATATATTGGATGTATCAATACTGAGGCAATCAATACGTATCGATATAAAGTATCGATATTCTTGAATGTATCGCACATCCCTAGCTTACACCTGCAGCGGAGGTACCCGCTGCTCGGTGTCGACGGTCGGAGCACCAAGCGTCGACTGATCTCTCACGCCTGCTCCGGAGGGGCTTTTATACCCCCCGGACGGAGGCGCGCGGGGTGAGGCGGCGGGGGCGGGCGCGGCGTTGCCGGCTGCCGTCAACGCGTGGCAACCGCGCGTTATCGATTTTTCGCCGGCTGGCTCTATTTCCTTCTCTCTCGCTCGAGGAATTCGGGTTTTTTCTACACGGCCGCGCCTCCCCGGTCGCCCTCGTTACAATTTCAAATTGGGGAAATTTTGATGTAAATTTTTGTTGCGTTAATTTTGCTTCCTCATAGAGGAAGCTTTGTTTTCATGCGAAAAATTGTTTTCGAATATTCAATGTCAATGGGTTTAGTATCATTCAATAACTCAAAAATACACACTAATTTAAAAAATGTGTGTGTGTATTTGCTTGCGCAATAATTGTTAACGCTCCCACCTCCGCATTTTTTGAGATATACACCAAAAAACACACTTTTTTCAAAAATGTGTGTGTGGATGTGCGTGCGCAATATTTGTTCGCGCTCTCACTTCCGCAATTTTTGAGATATCGCCTTCTACTTTGGCACATTTATTGAGTGTCATTAGGAGAGGGTTGGTATTGTATTTGA